CTTCGGTTCCTTCCTCTTTATTTCCAACCTCCGCATTCCAATCACCAGTAATTATCAGTGCCTCTTGATTGCAGGTTTGATTAGTTTCAGGAAGTAACGAATAACCTTATCATTTGATCAATGGAAACTCTGATTTTTATTGCCAAATTTTGGGGTCCACAGAATGTCATGCTTCTAATCTTCATCATTGATTGACATTGACCATCCTTGAGTTATTGGTCCTGAGCACAAAGCAATGGGACCCAGGACCACGTGTCTGACCTGACCCAAGAATGACACCTAGAAGGATGAATGGACAGTGAATCTTATAAGAGATTCTGTTCCTTTTGTGGGTAGTCTTGAAAAATGTTGTATGTGGCCCAGGGTTAGGATGAGCCCCATAAAAGTAAGAAAGTATATTACCCATGCCCAACACGTGGTAGGTGCTCAATTTCTATTTGTCGAGTGAAGGAAGGAAGGCATTGATACTCGCTTGTCACCAGGATCCCTGAACAAAAGGAAAACCATCCCTTGTTCTCTCTGGGAGCCCATGACCCTAAATAGCACCATAGGAGACATTATCCTGCATGTTTTCATGTTTCCCACAGTCGGGCCCCTGATGTTTCTCTAAGGAACATTCTGTCCCTGTGTTTTTGTTGGTGGTGTTGTTAAGTGCCTTTGAGTCGGTCCCGACTCGTAGCAACCTGGCATAGGTTTCTGAGGAGTGGCTGGTGGGTTTGAATCATCAACCTTGTGGTTAGCAGTCCACTGCTTATACTATAGCACCACACCAGGACTCCTCTTTTCCTATCATTGTTGTTAAAGTACCGTTGAGTTGGTTCTGCCTCATAGCGACCCCATATAGGGTTTCTATAGAGTGACCATAAGCAACCGCCGTCTTTATAGTTCAAACTGACTGTGTGGTCCAGGACATTAACCCACAATGCCACACCAAGACTCCTCTTCTCCCATTGTTGTTGTTGTTGTTGTTAGGTGCCATTGAGTCGGTACTAACTTATAGTGACCCTGTGCACAACAGAGTGAAACACTGCCCAGTCCTGGGCCAACCTCACAATCATTGCGAAACCTGAACCCACTGATACTGCCACTTTGCCAATCCATCTCATTGGGGGTCTTCCTCTTTTCCTCCAATCCTCCACTTTACCAAACATGATGTCCCTCTCTAGTGACTGGTGCCTCCTGACAACATGTCCAAAGTATGAGACATGCAGTCTGGCCATCCTGGTCTCCAAGGAGCACTCTGGCTGCACTTCTTCCAACACAGGGATTTTGCTATATTTGGGGTTATTTCCTAGGATACAAGATTATTGGAGAAAACGATATAAACATTCAGTGCCACTAACACCAAATTACCAGTGTTTTTTCAAAAGGTTGACCCCACCAAAGCCCACCTCCATATAACATCCCTTCCTGCCCTCCTCCCGCTCCCCCCAGCACAAGGAGCAGCAGAGAGAACAGCTGTCCATCGGCGAGGCCTTCCGAGCTGCCGAGGACGCAAGCAAGTACCTGGGCCAGTGGCGGAGCGTGATGGCAGACCACAGCGCCGCCCTGGAGGAGCTGCAGGAACGGCTGGATCAAGCTGCCCTGGATGACCTCCGGGCCCTGACCCTCTCTCTGTCCGAGAAAGCCACAGAGGAGCTGCGGCGCCTGCAGAACTCGGCCATGACCCAGGAGCTATTGAAACGCAGCGTGCCCTGGCTCTTCCTGCAGCAGATCTTGGAGGAGCATGGCAAGGAGCTGGCCGCCCGAGCTGAGCAGCTTGAGAGTGAGGAACGGGGCCGTGGCCAGGAGGGCGTCCAGGGCATGCGGCAGAGGCTGAAGGAGGAGGTGTTGGAGGCCTCGCTGGAGGAGCAGGTGGAGCTGAGGCGCTGGGAGCAGTCCATCTACCTGTGAGTACCAGTGGCCATGTCCTCACGGGCCTTCACTCCTTGGTTCGTTCCTTGTGCTCTTGACTTCGATGGTTGCTTTGAGAACCACACGCCCACTTCTGCTTTTCAGGAAGATGGGCAGACATGCCTCTCTTTTTTTCCTGAGTGATAGTTTACATGGGAGAACATCGGTTTCACATTCGTTGTTTCATGGCAATGATTACATTCCCCTCCGTGCATTATTATTCAACAGTATTTGCTTTTATTCCCTCTGTTTTTTTGTTTGTTAAAGTTTTTATTGTGGATTGAGTGGAAGTTTACAAGGCAGATCATTGGTTTTACATTGAACAAATTGTACACCATGTTTCAGTACAATGATTATAATCCCCACCATGTACCATCAGTTAACAATATTTCTTTCTATTCCCTTTAGCTCTTTTTTTTGTTTGTTTTTTTCTTTTAAAACAATCAGGCATATATAATAATTTACATCACCAAAGGGTGCATTCTGAAAGTCTGCCTCCTGGCCGCCAGCACTCAGTCCCTCTCTTTCCATGAGTCTAGAGTCCTCAGCAACTCCCTCTCTCTATGTCCCCATCTCTGCCTCCATTTCTGGTATCGCTGCTTCTCTGGTTAGGGTTCTATGCTCCACTCATGCTTTTCGCTCTTGATGGTCGCTAGGGTTCTCTGATCCTGGGCTGTAAGATTAACTACTCTCCCCTTTATGTTACAAAACTTCTACCTTTATAGTTGTGACAGTTGCAGTGAGTCATAATAACAGTTACTCAGTACTGAATCATAAGAATCATATCCCCATCTCGTTTCACCCGACCCATCTAGACAAGATGAAAACTATTCAGTCAGAATTTTACTTTCTCCTGCACATTCTGAAAACTAAATTCCCCCTTGAAAACTTGTAGGCCAGCCACTTTGTGCCTTTATAGCACCCCATTTTAGGTAGCCAATGTCTCAGTTGCCTGTCCTGTCTACCCTGCACACAGAAGGGATAGGTTGAACAGGCATACCTCCTTTTATTGCACTTCACAGATGTTGCTTTTTTAGTTTTACAAATGGACAGTTTGTGACAGCTCTGCATTGAGCACGTCTGTGGGCACTGTCTTCCCACAAGGATGTGGTCACTTGGTGTCTCGTTGTCCCATGTTGGTCCTTTTCACAACATTTCAAAGTTTTCCACCAGCCTACCATTGCACAGTCTATACATGACCATCTAGTGTAAAGATCGCTTTCATAGGCACTGGGTGACTTGCTTTTGTCCTCTTTATTGCCATGGTCTGGGCCTGAGAGTTCAGATCTGCATCGTGAGCACTCTAGTATGATTGTGCTCTGGAGTCCTGGCGTGGTGCTGTAGGATAAACACTGGACTGAACGGTCCATTGGAACCACTCCTGAGAAACTCTAGACGTGAATTGGAACCGATTTGACAGTACTTAATAACAACAACATGTGTGATTTGTTGGTGTAGAAACTCCACAGTTTTATTTCCATCTTAGTCACAATTCCAAATCTGTTGCTCTTTTTATTAGACATGGGTGTATCCAACACAGGTTTGTGGAGGGAGTGTGTGTGTGTGTCTTGCGGTGAGGAGAAATGAGATCTCTTAGGAACCCGGGACTGAAATAATAAAACATTGTGTAATATTTGGCTTTAAAGAGCAGAAATGTATTTTTTTCACACTTCTGGAGGCTGAGAGTCCAAAGTAGGCTTGCCCTCAACACACTTTGTAAAGAGTCTCTTTTCTTGTCCATTCTCTGGTGGCCATGGACATTCCTTGGCTTTTAGAATCCCTTCACATGGTGTCTGTCTTTCTCTCTTGCATGTGAGTCTGTCTGGTGTCTTTTCTTCCCTTGTGTAACACACCACCTAGAACGGATTAGGACCCACCCTATTCCAGTGTGACCTCATGGTCAGTGGCTTCCTTGAGATCAACGTCACCCCACTGCTGAAATTCATGACATCACTCTTCTCCCAGACCAGACAGAATCCTCAGTGATGCTCACGGTAAATTTGAATCACATGTAATGTATGTGATAAATATAGCTGGATATTGCTTAAAGAGTTCTGGTGTGGCGCTATGGGTTAAGGCACAGGACTGCAACGTCAGTTTGAACCATAAGGTCAGCTGTTCAACCTCACCAACTGCTCCTCTGAAACTCTATACGAGGTCGCTATGGGTTGGAACTGACTCGACAGCACTTCACAACAACAAACATTGCTTAAAGGTCGTATTTCTTAGATTTATGAATGCTATTGTTACTAAGTGCTGTGGAGTTGGTTCCGCTTCACAGTGACCCTGTATAGGGTTGTAAATCTCTGTGGGAGCAGAAAGCTTCATCATTCTCCTATGAGCAGCTGCTGGGCTCGAACCGCTGACCTTTTGTGGTTAACAGTCCAGTACCGAGAAGCTGGGTTCTATGAAGAAAAATATGGCATCAGGATTGGAGGAAGACTCATTAACAACCTGCGATATGCAGATGGTACAACCTTGCTTGGTGAAAGTGAAGAGGACTTAAAATATTTACTGATACTTTGGGTGGTTGATGATGCATAGAGGGGATTGGAACCATGACAATGAGATGATATACGATGGAATGAATGTAAAACTAAAGTTCTCCCATGTAAACTATCATATAATTCACAATAAGACATTTTAAAAAAATATATATTTACTGATAAAGATCAAAGAGCACAGCCTTTGGTATGGATTGTATCTCAATGTGAAGAAAACAAAAATCCTCACCACTGGACCAATAAACAACATTCTTACAGAGTTGAAGTTGTCAAGGACTTCATTCCTGGATCAACCATCAACACTCATGGAAGCAGCAGTCAAGGAATTAAACGACGTATTGCATTAGGCAAATCTGCTGCACAGGAACTTTTTAAAGTGTTGAAGAGCAAAGATGTCAACTTGAGGACTAAGGTGTGCCTGACCCAAGCCATGGTATTTTCAATAACCTCATATGGATGCGAAAGCTGGACAGTGAATAAGGAAGCCCATAGAAGAATTGATGCTTTTGAGTTATGGTGTTAGAGGAGAATATTGAAAGTGCCATGGGCTGCTGAAAGGACCAACAGATCTGTGTTGGAAGAAGTGCAGCCAGAGTGCTCCTTGGAGGCCAAGATGGCTAAACGTCGTCTCTAATACTTCGGACATATTGTCAGGAGGGACCAGTCACTGGAGAAGGATGTCATGTTTGGTAAGATGGAGGGTCAGAGAAAAAGAGGAAGACCCCCAGTGAGATGGATTGGCCAAGTGGCAGCATCAGTGGGCTCAAGCGTGGCAACAGTAGTGAGGTTGACCCAGGTCCGGGCAATGTTTTGCTCTGTTGTGCATAAGGTTGCTATGAGTCGGTACCGACTTCATGGCACCTCACAACAACAACACTTACCCTACAGAACCGCTGCTCTCCCGATACTCACAAAAAAATTGTTTTGTAAACATCTTTCTACATTGAATGATAACATTTTCAGTAGCTGGGTGAAATCCTCGATTTGATCTGTTTATTTAATTACTACTTCATCTTCAAAAAAGTTACTGATATAGTTTCCTAAATACTAATTAATAACCACAGCATTGGAGCTTAAGCACCACAAAGATTTGAGAAATTGAGCAGCTATAAAAACACCATCAGTACCATAAACAGCACCATGTGCTTGTAGCGTGAGCCTATGAAAATGTGTGGCTTCAAGTGCCATGGAAGTTGGGTGGCAATGACAGATCTGAGCAGAGCGTATTAGTCACAGAATTTTAGCCTCGTAGGTGTAGCAATACTGGTAAGTTGAGCTTGGACTCCTGGTGTGGCGCTGTGGGATCTGCACTGAACTGCAATAGTTCAAACCCACCAGCTGCTCCTCAGAAACCTTAGACAGGGCCGCTATGAGTCCGAATCGACTCGATGGTACTTAACAACAACAAGAAGCTGGGCTTATGAGAAATGTTTTCATAAAAATAAAACAGTGAACTTCTGCTGAAACACTGTGTTAACATTTTATTGTGTCATTTGGTGTCAGCCCCTTGACAATGTTACCGGTGTGGTCCGAACTCCTTGCACCCACCTAGTGAACTGGTAACTTCTTAGAAGGAAAACTCTACTACAAACACAGCTGCTGCCGCAGCTCCTGGAGTCAGGAGGTCCACCTGTTGTTTTCATGAAAGACAAATCCCTTTCTCTCCCTGTCTGTCCACTCCTTTGTTTACAAAGAGAGCCCAGAGGCGAGTTGTGCCACCTTGACCCTCCACGTCTGCACTGCAGCCTGGCCTGAACTCTTCCTTGGACATCCTTTTGTGATGCTGGTCCTTCATCCTCCCATGATTGAAATCACCTTCCAAGACTCAGGCTCTTCCTGGCCTGGACCATTTATCACCTCCGCACACACAGCACTCTCCTCTGGGACTGGGCCCTGGTTGCTTTGTGGAGCGCAATACTCTCCAGATTGCAGTTATATGACTTCGGTTCCTCCTTATCTCTTTTCTATGACCTTGGGTCTCGATTATCTTCCCATTTTGATTCGTTAATGTTTCCTTGACAAGGCAAACATAGCCTTCTCCAAGCCCACTGCTATCAGATCTTTAAATCGTACCTCTTATCCGACTCGACGGCACTTAACAACAACAACAAATCCCCACAAAGTTCTTCTCCACAATAATGGTTCAGTTCCACATTATTCCTACCCGAGTCATTTTTTGTTTTTTTTTTTAACAAATAAATAAGTTCCAACCTGATCTTGATGTCACTCTTGGGTGCGTTTGAATTAGACTTGACATTTCATTACCAGATGGCCATTTTCTTCAACCGCATTTAAACCCACTTTGCAACTACACAAGTTGTTGCCGACACGGCTGTTCCATGGCAAGAGAGAAATCTCACTTAGCTGTTCGAAAGCTTTTTCTGAAGGTTAAAGACGGTCAGGAGTCTGCCTTCATTCTTTGCTTATTTAAGATTCTGAAAGGTTGCAGCCTTTATTCCTGAGGCATTAGATAGAAATAGCCTTGGCAAAGTAGTTTGGAAATGCATTTATATAAACTGCCCAATTTCAAGCATGATGGAACTGCTTTGTACGTGTTTGGCTAAAGTAAGAATGAATGAGTGTGAATAGTTTCGGTGTAGGAAACACATCTTGGAGGCTCTTTCCCCAGTTGCCTGCCTTGGTTATAACTCATTCAGGGCTGTTTCTGCATGATTTGGGCACATTCACCAAAGTTGAAGAGTACACGAAGCAGCCGTCAAAGGCTGGTTGGTTTGAAGGTGGGCTAGACCAGTGTGGCCTGGATGCATTTTAGGGTTGCGTTCACTGTGGATTCCCAGCAAACACACAGGGCAAATGTGTGTGCAGTGAGAACCAACTCCACAATACACAACCATCACAATTTAAAAAATAAAAAGGACCGGGTTTACTGGTCAAATTAGGACTAATGAAACCCTTAAGATTATGACTGTCTTACCACATGGAGTCCTGGTATGGCACTGTACGATAAGCTTTGGATCACAAGGTCAGGTTCAACTGCAAGGTCAGTGGTTCAAAATCACTGGCCGCTCCTTGGAAACCCTGTACAGGGTTGCTTTGAGTCAGAACTGACTCAACAGCACTTAACACCACCAACAACAACCACTACATGTCTTAGGCTGGGTTTCCTAACCTAAGAAGCAAAACCAGTGAAACATTTTGTTGTTGTTGTTGTTAGGTGCCATCGAGTCAGTACGAACTCATAGTGACCTTATGCACAGCAGAACGAAACACTGCCCGATCCTGGGCCTACCTTACTATTGTTGCCACACTTGAGCCCATTAATGCTGCCACTTTGCAAATCCATCTCACTGGAGGTCTTCCTCTTTTTCTCTGACCCTCCACCTTATCAAACATGATATCCTTCTCCAGTGACTGGTCACTCCTGACAATATGTCCAAAGTATGAGAGACAAAGTTTGGCCATCTTGGTCTCCAAAGAGCACTCTGACTGCACTTCTTCCAAAATGGATCTATTGGTTCTTTTGGCAGCCCATGGCACTTTCAATATTTTCCTCCAAAAACATAACTCAAAAGCATTAATTCTTCTATGGTCTTCCTTATTCACTGTCCTTCTTTCACATGCATATGAGGTTATTGAAAATATCATGGTTTAGGTCTTCAAGCTGACATCTTTGCTCTTCAACACTTTAAAAGGTCTTGTGCAGCACATTTGCCTAATGCAATTAGTGAAACATATGCATGTCTATATATATCAAAAGAAGTTTATATCAAGGAAATGGCTTTCAACTGTAGACTCCCAGTGAAAGAGAGAGAGAGAGAGAGTCCTTCCTGAATGTCCATTATATTGAGAGTAGGTCACACCTCCAAGACAGTATCCCTTCAATTGATTGGCTGCTCATAGCCACCCATCATAGAGCTAACGATGCCTATATTAGGTTTCATCACCATGGGAATAAGCAATCCCAAGTGCTAAACCTCTGGAAATCCTGGCCTTTT